CTAATAAACCTTCATTCTGTTACAGACAAGAAGAGTAAAAAGGCTTATGGCGAAACATTTAATGCCTCCATCGAGACAAATGTTTTAACATAGCAGAAAAACTTCGCAGAAGGACAATGAAAAGCAATGTTCGCAACAAGCCAAACAGGACACCATGGAGATCATCAAAAGGTACATACTGGAGAAAAGCCTTTTAAGTGTAAGGTCTGTGACAAGTGCTTCGGCCAAGCGCAAAATCTTCGCCGTCACAACAGGGTACATACTGGAGAAAAGCCTTTTAAGTGTAAGGTTTGTGACAAGTCCTTTGGCCGACCTGACACTCTTTGCCTTCACAACAGGGTACATACTGGAGAAAAGCCTTTTAAGTGCACGGTCTGTGACAAGTGCTTTGGCCTAGCGGGAAATCTTCGCCGTCACATCAGGGTACATACAGGAGAAAAGCCTTTTAAGTGCAAGGTCTGTGACAAGTGCTATAGCAAAGCGAAAGATCTTCGCCGTCACAACATGGTACATACTGGAGAAAAGCCTTTTAAGTGTACGGTTTATGACCAGTCGTTTGGCCGAGCTGAGAGCCTTCTTTATAACAAAGTACATTTGGGTGAAAAGTTTAGCTGCTGGATTTGTCAGAAGTTATTTCGTACTGAGGACGCCCTGCAAAAGCATTACGATGATCACATGGAAAAAGCAGTTCGTAGAATCATCTAGCTTAAGCAGAGAATTCCGGTTTAGAGACAATTCCCAATCTAAATAGCTGTACCTGAACTGTTGTGTTTAACCTCTTAAAATTACGTTTTCAAACATTAGCTCTACACCTTGGCGAACTTGGCTACTTGCAGTATGCTCAATCATTTTTACCTGCTCCTGTGTCAATTACAGCACTCTTTGTTTTACAAGTCTGAATGAAGCTTACTCGAGAAAGTGGAAATTGTAATCAAATGAATGCGTTGTAATTTTTGGTTTTTTTTTTTTTTTTTCTACTTTTTGAATTAAAGCATCTACAATTAAAACCTTGCTTAAAAGTGCTACTTTGAAATGTCTAAAAAACATAAGGGTTTTATAGGAAAATTGATTACCTGACTCGTGAATTCCGCGTTAAATTGCACGGGAAAACCGATATCGCACGGCGATGAGTGCGATATCGGTTTTCTCTAATAACTCTGGTTTTCGCGTGCAATTTAACGCGGAATTCACGAGTCAGGTAATCAATTTTACTTGAATCGCATAACTGAATGAAAATGAGAAAGCAAGAATTAAATCGGCAATATTATTGTTTGTTTTTATCCCAACCGCACGCTCTACAAAGCAATTTCAAAGCCAACTGTTAGAAGTGTCATGTTAGCGACTAGAAAGCAAGGTTAGTCGCACACGTTTGAACCTTCGACAACTTTATTTGTTCCTTGTGCTTGATTTCACATTAATTTTCGAACTTTTTAAACAAGCTTCACACTATTTAAGGATAATAGTGGTATTCACAAGCCGTTTATCGTTAACATCTTTTTTCAAAATTCCAAATAATTTGCGCGCGAAGGAAAATAATTTACACCTTTTACCCGCTCTGAATAAAGGCTGATAGTTTCGAAAGAAACTGTTTGGGACTGCGTCGGTGGGAATAACGAAATAATTTGGATATATCAACAAAGTTGAAGTGGTAAATTGGCCACCGTAACGATTACAAAAGCTGACGTTTCGAGCGTTAGCCGTTCGTCGGAGCGAATGGAGGAATTGTGGGTTGTGTGCTTTTAATGGCAGAGAATGGAGCTACGTTATTGGTGGGAACATGGCGACGAGAAAAACAAGAATAAATTAGTGCAATGAAAAGCGTTCGTTGATCCCTGTGGGATTTAGACTGCCGGTTTGAAAGATGAGCTTTTGTTCAAGATTTTTACGGCTTTTCGTGCTATCTAAGTATAAGGAAAGACCGCAGATTGCCATATGTTGCTTAGAATGATTAGATAAATTAAAATGTCTAGCGACTGGTTTCTATGTATCCTTGTCATTCCTTTCCACGTCTCGAAGGTGTTCTCGGAATCGGTCACCTAGTCTTCTGCCTGTTTCGCCGATGTATATCTTTTTGCAATAAGTGCAAGCTATGCAATAGATTACATTGGCGGAGGTGCACGTGAAGTGATCGGTGATCTTAATGGATCGTTTAGGTCCCGATATCTTATCAGTGTTGTGAATGAAAGGACACGTTTTGCATCGTGCACGAGCGCATTTAAAAGTGCCTAGTTGGTCATTACCTCACGTATGCGTTACATAGTGACGTCGCAGAATAAAAAGGTAAAACACTAACCCCACCCCTACACGAATTATTTTGTTGACTGCAGTGGACTAGCCGATTCGTTGCGTGTGGCTTAAATAATTCGAAAACTAACCCGGCGACCCCGTGATGTTTTTCAGTGATTGCTTTTGGCACTTGTCAAGGAAAATGCATAAAGATTTTTAAAAAATTCTACAGAGCGGAATTTCAGAAAATCTAGAATAAAGGCAATTTTCACACATCGGAAATTTCCTTTCGTAGAATTTTCTATTTTTTTTCTAATGATTCCTTTCGACGTTATAATCATATTGGAACAATAAAAAGAAGGGTTCACCGGACTTGTTTTCATGCAATAGCTTTTGTGAGTATAGCAATTCCGACGCGCGTTCTAGTGCATCTCAAAAATCCGGATTCTATAAGATCAACATTTCTATCGCATGCGTAAGCGCGAGCACCTACGATCTGATGTTTACAGACGTTTAATGTTAAAGAAAATCATTAAACAGCTGTCAAAGACAGCCTCCCAGGCTCATCTTAAAATCCTATACACGACTTCTGGCTATATCATATTATTTTCTTTGAAGTTTCAAAGTCTTCTTCCACTTCAGGTAGATTATCCTTTACTTGAGGTCTTCTTTTTTCGCCGTCGCAAGATTTCATATCGGTTGAATATTTCTTTTAGATGTGAAGTGAAGCAACCTTTACTTCTCCGAAAGTTGTCTTCTTTATCTTAGTTTCTATCTCCAGCATTCACAGTGGCCGCTCAACACATCAAATACACGCTCATAGGTAAACTCACAAAAGTAGAAAAAATCCTCGCGCCACCATCTTTGTTTTAAATTTTCGTCTTTTGATCCCGCACTTCTTTCGCACGTTTTCTCTCGCGCGTGAAGCAAGAGTTATCTGTTCCCTGCGCGAGGAAACTAGCACGAGCCACTTTAAAGCCCCGTCTACACGAGCAATTTTTATGTGGCAACTGTATGTGGCAATTTTTATTTGCCCGTGTAGAGGGCTCGACAAATATTTGTTGTTAATTTGCGTTAGTAATAATTTCACACAGCGGAGATGCTCATGGAAAGATAAAAAGCAAGATGGCGAAAGTCAGAAGACGTGCCAGATGTGTTGCAGCTTTAGGCGCGTTTGTCACATTTTATATGGCGTCTCGTCTACACGGACAATTTTTTTAGGTGGCAATTTTTATTTGCCACATAAAAACTAACACACCAGCTTTTCAGCAAGCGCAGTTGTCATATAAAAATTGGTCATTTTTCATCATCTACACGGGAAAATAAAAATTGCCACTTAAAAATTGCCATATAAAAATTGCTCGTGCAGACGGGGCTTAACCCTAGCTTCCAGTCTGCTCTCGACTTACCATTAGCCCGCGTGGAGCCCGCGTGGATTAAATGCCGCTAAGGTATACGAGGAGAGAAAGGTGTCATTCGTGGAGATTCGAAAATGCGGGATTTAATCATCTTTGTATTTTATATCATTTTTTCAAAGACAAGCTATTTACTAATTAAAAGCAAACAAGGCAACGAGAAAAAAAGATCAAAACCAAAGAATGTGTTACTGCAAGACTCCTAAACAGATTTTCTATGTCACAAAGCTTTCACTGCGATTCGTGTAAGTCATATCTACTTGACACTTCACGGTCAGCGTTTTTATATTCTTCTAGACTTTTGAAAAGCGGATCACACTGGTTATTTTCAGGGACCGCTATGAGCCAGTGTACATCTGGTCATAGTTACTATGATCTGGTGTACATCCCTGGGTTTAATTCCAAGTGAATGCGGTAAGTCTGCAAGCTGATTAGTGCCAGATCCCCGGCAAACCTTTCCCCAACTCATCTGAGAGATCTGACTCTCAAATCTTTCCGCGGGCGAAGAAGCGCGAGTCTTGCAGCGCTAATAACGGCGGCCAGTTAGGAAAACAAGATTTGAGTCTGATATTCCAAGGCATGAATTTTATTAGCGATGGATTTTATCTACCACATAGAGAACTGAAGTGAGAAATGGACTACGTACAAATCACCTATAAGATACAATTATTTTTGAAACCATTTTTGTCCTTGAAGTGTTAGTGCGTCCACGAACGTTGTCATAATATTAGTAAAGATCTATTAATTAGCGGGATTATTCCCATATCCTCATTCTTAACCTTTTTATTACAAATTTCAAATGCTGCAGCCATTGTTTCGATAAAACTAATAAGGTTTTGCAGTTGATAAATGTGAATATTGTGTCACGACTGACAACCTTTCAAAAAAAAAAAAAATTAATTTAGAGTTTTTATTTTCCAGTGGGAATCTTCACTCTTGCTTATCAATTTGTCTTTTGTTACTTCCAGTGTCATTATTATTTACATGCACTACATTTTAAGTATCTGGTCCTGGTACATCCAAAAAAGGATAAATCTTTCAAGTTGTTCATTTTATGTGAATCTATCATCTGCGATGATTAATTTGAAATAACCGAACTGGCAATGAATTCAAGGGCCTAGTTATTTGTGTGAAAGAAATGCAAAGTTATTTTATCTTGCTCTTTTGTCAAGAAGAATAAAATTGTATTTGCACAAGTCGTTCGGAATCCAGAGAGAAAGTTATTAGACGGAAATCAAAACACAAATAATCATTCAGTCAAAATTGTACCCTCTGATTATTTCAAGAGAACGGGTGATGAGAGAAACAAACTTAGATGCAGTTTTAATTACTTTTGGCGTTTGCTGTCAATGATAGTACATATGAATTTGTGAAGTTGAAAAAAATTTCATAAAACTGCTCTTTAAATTCCTGAGATAGAATGAATATATGAAGTTCATATATTTTAAACTGCGGTATTAGATACGTATGATGCACGATCCTCGCAGTAGATAGCGCTATCTATGCAATAGCGAAAGTCAGACCTGAAAAAAATCAGGCCTGTACGGGACTCGAATTTATTACGAATCAACTTAACGGCCTGCTCCCAGTTGGCTTGTTAGCTCAATTGGTAGAGCGCTGCACTAGTATCGCAGAGGTCAGTGGTTCGAGTCCCGCCAGGCCTGATTTTTTTCAGGTCTGATATTCCGTATTGCATCAATAGCGCTATCTACTGCGAGGATCGTGCATCATACGTATTAAATTCCTATCAGTAAATGTTACGAATTATATTCCATTGATGTATTTTCCCGTGAGAGTGCTACTCATGAGGTAGCTTCTTATTTATAGAAAGTCTGCTCAGGTCGTGAGATAATTTTACATCTTTCATCTCCTCGAAGTTTAGCAAGAAAACAGATCGATCGAAAAACTCACCACACAAAAACATGTTTAACAGCTCTAGTATACTTTCAGAGTATCAAAGCAGCTTGTTCACGCAGTGCACCTCACATATTTTCAGCAAAGACAGGAATGACGCTTTCCCACGCATCATTTTCTTCTCGACTTCTATCACCATTGCTTTACTCTAACCTGTAGCAGTGGCGGGGAATGCATTGATTTTGGCGGCGGTATGGAGGAAGAATTTTGGAAGGACACCATTTCATATACTGCTGAGTGGTTTGGCTTTCACTGATTTGTGTACGGGAATCATAGCCCAGCCTTTCTATTTTGTGTCGTTTTTGATGTGTTCAGGGAATTCAACAGCAGAGTATGACTCTCCAAGACTCCTTACAGCTTTACGTACAATTGGCGAGGGTAGCGGGATGTATTTT